AGTATCACTACAGAAGTAGATTGCCCAACCTTCCTTCTGAGGAGTGGCTGGTGGGTTTGAACCGCCAGCCTTCTGGTTAGTAGTCAAATGCCTTAGACACTATGCTACCAGTAGGTGAGTGCAAACTGTTTGTACCACCCAGATACTTATCAGGAATTATTACATTCTAAATATATCTCAAGGATTCATCCATAACCTCTATGCTGATATTGTAAAATCATCTTTCCAGAAGGTTCTATACACAGATGCCTACAAGACATCTTCATTTAGATCTCACACCGAATTGCACACATGCAAAATGGAAATCCCTTGCCCCACCATATTCCACAAAGTAGATCCCTCACCAACATCCAAGTTTTTGTCAAAAGTACTACTTAATCTCATCCTCAAGGCTAGGAATCTAGAAATCACCTTCAATTTTTTTTTTAAATCAATTTCCACTTCTGTGTCCTTTCTTTCATCTTATCTTCTCATTTCTGCCTCTACGTTATATTTCTTTTTGCCTCTTCCTCTCCATTTATCCTGCCATCAGTATAATCCATACTTTAGTCTCCTCACACCCAGGTAAGAATAGCCTTCGTTGGACTTCCACTGATTCTGGTTAGTCTGCCAAACTCATCTTTCTAAGTACCCAGATCATTTCTTCACCCTGATCACTTCTTTGATTCCATGTGGCCAGTTGGATCAGTTGAAAATTCCTCTGTCTAAATTCCATGGGCTCCAGAATCTAGCATCACCCCCTCTGCCCAACCATATGACCCAAGGTTGTAGACACACACCTTACCGCCATGTTGCTTTTCTTAATGATCACAAGCCACCATCATCATTCCAGACTGCCAGCCTATTTTCATTCAATTCTGCCCTACAGAAAGAACTTTGCCCTTCAGATTTTATTTGTTAATTTCCTAGTGTTTAACACCCCCGAACATAAACACCATACTCCTTAAGTAGTAACTCACCATTCCCCGCCCCTCCCTCCAGCTCCTCCTTGGTAACTACTTATCTACTTGTATCTGTTGGGGTCTCTCTCCAGTGAAGCAAAAGTTTCCAGATAAGTTTGTGCAGAGAGACGGAAAAACTGACCCAGAGTCACTCTGAGACATCATAGTTTCTGAGGGGAGGGGAGGACTTACAGAAAAGCAGCGTTGATCCAGTGGCCTCCAACTGATCAAGTTCCAAATCCACACCCCTCTCCGTTTTCCTCCGGTTTATATAAAATAAGGTAAACAACCAAAGGGAGGCTTTGCAGGGTGAGGGGTCCGACACTGAGGAGTGTGGTTCCAAGAGACCAAAGGTGATAATAATGCCCTGAGGCTGATGGTCAGGCAGGAGGAATGCCACATTTCCTGTGAGTGAAAAAAGGGAAGGGGCGGGAATGACTTGGCATTTTTTCTAAGATGGAATTTGCTTTTAAGATGGAGTCCAGGAGCCATTTTGCAGTATTTGAAGATGTTTATCATACAGCGTCTTTGCATTTGCCTATTCAAGATATTCCATATAAACAGGAGTCATACAAATTTGTCCTTTTGTGTCTGACTTATTTTCACTCTCAATAATGTTTCCATGTTCGTCCCTGTTATAGCTTGCATCAGGACTTCATTTCTCTTTATGGCTGAGTAATATTCCATTGTATAAACCAAAAACCAAACCCATTGCCATCTAGTGGATTCTGACTCATAGTAACCCCCATTGGGTTTCTCAGGTGGTAAATCTTTACAGAAGTAGATTGCCCAGTCTTCATTCCATGGAGTGGCTGGTGAATTTGAACCAACAACCTTCTTGTTAGCAGTCAAGTGCCTTAGGCACTGTGCCACCAGAGCTCCTTATTCCATTGTATGCATGTATTTCATTTATCCATTCATCTGTTGAAGAACACTTGGGTTGTTTCCATCTTTGCTTATTGTGCATAATGCTGCAATGAATATTGGTATACAAGTATCTATTGAGCCCTTGCTTTCAATTTTACTAGAATGATCTATACCTAGGATTGGAATTGCTGAGTCATATGGCAGTTCTATGTTTAACTTTTTGAGGAACTGCCAAATTCTTTTTCATAGTAGCTGCACCATTTTACATTCCCATCAGCAGTGCAAGAGCTCTAGTTTCTTCACATCCTCATCAACATCTATTGATTTTTTTTTTTTTTTTTTTTGGCTTACGAGGGTGGGAGATTGTTTTTGTGTAACAGCCATCCCAGTGGGCATTGCCTTCCACTTCTGCTTAACCAAATTCTACCTAGTATTTAAAATGAACCAAATTGCCTTTATCTCCACTGAAACTGTTTCAGTTCCTATTGAAATATGGACTATGAAGTTGGTGCCCACACAATTTATCATTTTTCTTCTCTGATTTCTTCTGTAACTTTTGTATCCTTAATTAGATTATTGATGTTATTAGCATTGTTTCCCCTGTGTCGGCAACCTTCATTATTGTAGTAGACATATAGAGCACGCTCAATAAATATTGAACTGATGCATTGTTGGCATTTGGAAAAATAAACATCTATCCAGATAATGCGCAAAGTCACCCTTTCCCAGTTTTACTTTATTTATTTAAATATTATGCAGATAGGACAAAATGATAATCTCAGTGACTTAGTGTCCAACTTTAAAATAAAACCAAGGCCAAAGGTTCAAGGGATTTTTGAGACACATTATTTCCAAATTAGGAAGGAAGAGATAATGAAAGCTCAGTTTAGAAAATTTCGGGTTCCTGGTTATATTTTTGCTTGCAAAACCCAAAGCAAATTATGATGGATGGATGACTTTTCACTTAGAATAAGCTTGTTGCTATTAGCCGCCGTCAAGTCAGTCCCCATTCATGATTATCACATGTACAGCAGAAAGAAACATTGCCAGTCTTGTGCCACCCCCACAATCACCTTCAGAATACTCAAATCCATTGTTTTGGCTGCTGTGTATTTGGAATGCTTTCCAACCTAGAGGACTTATTGTTCAGCACCATAAAGTACAAGACTTTGTTGTGATCCATGAGGTTATCATTGGCTATTTTTGAAAATAGATCACTAGACCTTTCCTCCTAGTCTGTCTTAGTCTAGCAGCTCTACTGAAACCTGTCCACCTTGGGTGAGCCTGCTGTGTTTGAAATACTGGTCCCATAGCATCCAACATTATAGCAACATGCAAGCCACCACAGTAAGACAAACTGACAGATTAGTGTTGGAGAAGAAGTTTAAGAAAGCCAAATAGTAATGGATGACCCCCACACTGCCACTCCTACCTCAGTATTTTCAAACACCAACATCATAGAAGGGGAAGATGGAGAAAAAGAAAACATGAAAAAAAGAGAAGAAACTTAGTAAGCTCAAAATGTCTGTTTTCTCCTTTCAGCACAAATTGAAGTGATACCATGCAAAATTTGTGGGGATAAGTCCTCGGGGATCCACTATGGAGTCATCACATGTGAAGGCTGCAAGGTACGGGACTTTAACACAGCACTCTGGATAGCATTCCTGTTTGCCTGAGGCATCTGTTTATGCCCCAATACCTGTGGTGACAACTTTTTAAACAAGAGCTGCTAAGACCTTTTGTGTCTGCTGCTGACATTCAGGAATTCTTGCTCGGTGGGTGGTTGGGTGGGTTGACTTACTGTTCTTTTGCTCTCACCTTTTAGTTATTGTCTTGGAGCTCCAGTGGCATAGTGCCTAAGGTATTTGACTGCTAATCAGAAGGCTGGCAGTTCAAACCCACTAGCCACTCCTTGGAAGGAAGACTGGGCAATCTACTTCCATAGAGATACCACCTTGGAAACCCAAGAAAGGGTCGCTGTGAGTCGGAACCGACTCGATGGCAGTCAGTTTGGTTTTTGGTTGGTTTAGTTATTGTCTAACTGGTCAAGAATTCCTTTAAAATGGATTTTTATTTAAAGTTTTGAATTATTTGCATTTACAGAGCTATAAATACTGACTCTTACTCATAGCAATTGTCTCCAGTAAACTCCTGGCCATTTAGTATTATAGTGAAAAAACAAAAAACAAAACAACAACAAAAAACCCTGAAAGGTTAAAATAAAGTAAAGATTATAAACTAATCTGCATAAAAATTTATTTGCTTGGGAAAGAGGAAGTCGAGGTGTCAAGGTAAGAGTTCCAAAATGTGTATGGCCATCCTTTACTTTCACCTTACAGAAAAAGAAAAGAAAACTGGAAACATGGAATGTTAGAAGTAGCCCAGATGATCTCTCAATTTAGAAAACCTCTGGCCCAAATTCCTCATTTGAAGAATGAGGATCTGATACCTCAAGTTTATGCCATTTGACATAGTCACTGGGCTACTTAGTAAGAGAACCAAAAACCAAACTCACTGCAGCCAAGTTCATTGGACTCAGCAGCCCCTTGTTGGGTTTCTGAGGCAGTATCTCTATGCAAGTAGATTGCCCAATCTTCCTTCCAAGAAGTAGCTGGTGTGTTTGAACCTCCAGCCTTCTGGTTAGCAGTTAGATGGCTAGGCTGAGAGAGTATGGCTAAAATCACATGATTTTTATTTCCCATTCCTGTTTCCAAAGCTGTATTCTACCAACCCTTCCAAAGACAAATTCCTGTGGGCAAATTGCTTTTAAATTAACAATGCTGGGGGGATAGTCATTAACATAGACCTAATGTAAACTAAGGAATTCCATGAAACAAAGATGAGGTAGCCTGCTTTCTTAAAGATTTACAGCCTTGGAAACCTTATGGGGCAGTTCTATTCTGTCCTAAAGTGTTGGTATGAGTCGGAAATGACTCAATCCGCTGGAGGACAGTGGATTTGGGTTTGTTTTTTTTTTTTAAAGTAAACTAAAGGCACCCTGGTGGTGCAACAGTTAAGTGTTCAGCTATTAACCAAAAGATTAGCTGCTTGAACCCATCCAGCGGCTCCATGGGAGAAAGACCTGGGAATCTGTCACTCTGAGTCAGAGTGGACTCAATGGCACCCCATAGCAACAATCTGAAATAAGAGTCCCTGAGTAGTTCATATTATTAAGCACTAGATTACTAGCCAAGAGTCTGGCCATTCAAACCCACAATGGGTCCCTTGAAATACAGGCTTGGGAATCTACTTTGAAAGGTCACTGTCTTGAAAACCGTATGGAGAAGTTCTATTCTGCACATATGGAGTCGCCGTGACTCAGAATCAACTCCATGGCAACTAACAACAATAATGTGAAATAGGAAAGATTTTAAACTTAATAGTAAGTTTTTAAAATTAATCCTTAGAAAGAAAGAGAGAGAGAGAAAATATCAAGGGAAGAGAGCAACAGTAGTGCCTAAGGCACTTGACTGCTAACCAGCAGGCTGGCGATTCAAACCCACCAGCCACTCCTCAGAAGGAAGGTTGGGCAATCTACTTCCATAGTGACATCGCCTAGGAAATCCAAGGAGGGGTCGCTATGACGGATCCGACTCGACGGCACATAACAACAACACAACAACAATGTGTAACTTTAAATAAAAGGCAACTACAACCTGGGAGAAGAAAGATTATACTCTAACACACTTATCGGCAAGAGAAATGATTTTCCTGAACAAGGAAGCAAGCAAAGTGAATCGTTAATTTAACATCAGTAAACTGGGGTTGAGTCATAGCTTCTAAGAGCCAATCTTAATCTTAAGAGACTTCTGAATATAAATGAAACACAACCTACTGTAACTGTCAAATCATGAAGAATCTATGACATTTTCATAATAGTCTTAAAAAGTATGATTCCTGGAAATGAAACTGCAGGAAAGGAAAACAAAAAGAAATAAATGAGAAAAAATAGGGAGAGGTGAAAAGAGAGGAGAATAACACTAACGAACAACTCATCACCATACTGACCTGCTTTGGAAGTGATTAATGATAATCCATGTTTGACCATCATACCGCATGTTATCCACTTTAATTCAATTTTTTCAACTCAGAAGAAGAAATAATAAGGCAAAATTACAATCTAGCATTTTTTCCATCCTAGAATAAATCATTCTGGTAGCATAGTGCCTAAGGCACTTGACTGCTAACCAGAAGGCTGGCAGTTCAAACCCACCAGCCACTCCTCGGAAGGAAGGTTGGGCAATCCTACTTCCATAGTGATACTGCCTCCGAAACCCAAGGAGGGGTCGCTATGAGTCGAGGCCGACTCGACGGCAAATAACAACACACACAGAATAAATCATTACTTCCTCCAGGAGGTAGGCAAATAGTTTTCTTCGTAAACACTAATAATTTTGGAATCAGAACCCTCTCCGTTGATTGTATTTCTGCCACTCCGTCGGCTTGGTAGTCAATGTTAAGACCTCTGGTCCGGTTTGCATAGTATTCACAAAAATGTTTTTAAAATCAATGTTATAGTGCAGATGTTTTTTATTTCCTTGTGTAAATCCTGTTTGGAAAATGGTTGATTTCAAAGTATAGGGCAAAATACATTAAGGAGCAAAACATTTTCAACAGTAATGTCCAAAAGATTTTGAACTACTGAACAAATATAATCCAACAGATCAGTAGCCAGGAACAAGTGTTCATGCTCCTCTCATTTGTACTTTTCTATATGAAGGAAGAATCTATACTCAAAGAAATTTTGCAGTTATTATGAAGCATATGGAGGAAGCAGAGGCAGGGATCCAGGTAAGGCTAGAGACGCAGGCCATGCCCCTCCCTAGAGGGCGGAAAGAGGCAGGGATCCATGTAAGGAGAAGGTGGGGACGGTGGAGAGATTTTTGAACAGCTAAGGGAGACAAACTTGTCTGTCAGTTTGTCCGACTGTGGTGGTATGTTGCTGTGAGGCTTGAGGCTATGCCACCAGTATGTCAAACCCAGCAGGGTTGCACATGGTACACAGATTTCAACAGCTTACAGACTGAGACAGACTAGGAAGAAGGAGGAGGCCATCCACTTCTCAAAAACTTGGCCAGGGAAAACCATGTGAATAGCAGAGAAACACTGTCTGATACACTACTGTGCAATTTTATGAATAGCCCAGAACATTGTCTGTAACAGTGCAGGAGGATAAGCCACTTAGGTCGGAAGGCTCTCACAATAGGACCAGGAAAGAGCTGCATCATCAGAGTAGAACCAGCCTTAACGATATGGATAAGGTAACACTTTTGAGACCTCCATTTGCTGATATGGCAGGACTCAAATCGAGGAGAAACAGATGCAAACATCCATTAATAATCGGAACATGGAAAGTGTAAAGCATGAGTCTAGGAAAATTGGAACTTGTCAAAAATGAAATAGAATGCATAAAGATTGATATCCTACACATTACTGAGCTGAAATG